TGGGAAAATAAAATGATATCAAAAAGAAAAGATAATTAAAGCCTTTAAAGCATATACTTCGTCATCCACAACAAACAAGCCATTTAAAAATGGTTCCAAATTGTTTAAAAGCCCACCATATTATATATTGTCGTGTATATACGAACATTTTATCTTATTTCCAGTTATTAAGTTGTTTTTCCTTATTTTCTTACGGACTAATTTCATGGATCTTCCACTGCACTTGGCGTCAGCATAAATGCAAAATTTTGCGTTTTATGCTTTACATTATAGGATGTAATAATGACTTCAAACAATAAATTAATGTGGTCATAGGCCCCTAGTTTCTCATTCCCCTTATTTACATTCTACCTGCTTTATAAACGTAAAGTGTACTTTAATTTACATAAAACAGAAAACTTTTTTCTAGGAAGCTGACGTAGGAGTTATTACTAAAAGTTCACACTGAATTTTAATAAACCAGAAAACAAACATAAAACATGGAACAAAACACGCCTCGTTTACACTCTACTTGTCTCTCTCTCTTCAATCTAAGTATGAAATAATTTCTGTTTATACACAATATTACCCACTTTTATACACATAAGTCTGTCATTCCATCCATCAAATCGTGTATACACAACTTATACTTATTAAATTTTTTTATCTATTCTTCTAAATTAGATTGTCAGATAAAAGTTTAATTAATGTGTGTTATTACATACATAGGTAGGTTGACGGATGATTACAATTACATATTAGTCTTTAACAATACGAAGTTGGGTGTTATTGTTTGGTTTTTTTGCAGGTTCAAATGATTTTTTGTAAACCAGAATAGTAAAAAAAAAACTTTCATTACCACGATACGCAACCCAAACTATCGTCTGAAAGACAAAGATGATGCTAATGCAGTTGTAAGGTTCTGGTTTTGAAAATTTTGTTATCAAGGTATAGTCATTCAGCTTGATATCGATATGACACTAGCGAAGACTAGGTACCAGCTGTTCCTTCCCCACAGTAAAAATAGATGTAGCGCTTTAATATTTCATTGTTATTATGTTGAACATTGCGATATGACAGACTGTTTCCTTAGAAATATCAGGTAAAGGACAGGATTTTTTTTTTACTGAAGTTGGTACGTCAATAAACACATAAAAGCGTTCACTCACCTAAAGTACCGACAATGCTGTCATGTTTTTATACGTATAACAAGATTATTCAGAGTTTAGTATATTTATCAATTTCATAAAGTTATTATATGCCAGGACAATAAATGACGTTCTAAAATCGGTCCTGAAAATCCTTCGCTGAATAAAAACACCGTAGAATAAGATGTACGTCTTTAGTTAGATAAGACTCCACTAATCCAGATAAACTACAAAATAAAAAAAAATTAAGAACAATAACATCTTTATAAGCAAAAACATAAAGCATAGAAAATGACAGGAGGGGATAAACTGTTGATGTTTGTTTGTTATGAATTTCGCGTAAAGTTACACGAAGGCTATATGCGTTAACCGTTCCTAATTTAGCAATGATAGACTAGAGGAAAGGCAGCTAGTCATCACCACCCACCGCCAACTCTTGGGCTACTCTTTTACCAACGAATAGTGGGATTGACCGTCACATTATAAGGCCCCCACGGCTGAAAGGGCGAGCATTTTTGTTGTGAGGGGGATTCTAACCCGCGACCCACAGATTGCGAGTCAAGCGCCTTAACTGTTGATGTAACTAGATTAAGCACAAGAATAAAAATAAACAGAGGAGTAAATTAGTGTTAATTTGGAAACATGAACAAAATAAAAAATATTGAAATCTTTACATATCTAACTAGGTTCAGCGTACATGATAACAAACATATGCACAATAAGTTTCATAATATCTATTTTTATTTACCATACAAAACATAATCTCTCTTATATCACCCCTGGCGTCACAGCTTATATCTATAATTTGACAGTACTAAACATATCACCCCTGGCGTCACAGCTTGTATCTGTAATTTGACAGTACTAAACATATCACCCCTGGCGTCACAGCTTGTATCTGTAATTTGACAGTACTAAACATATCACCCCTGGTGTCACAGCTTGTATCTGTAATTTGACAGTACTAAACATATCACCCCTGCTGTCACAGCTTGTATCTGTAATTTGACAGTGCTAAACATATCACCCATGGTGTCACAGCTTGTATCTGTAATTTGACAGTGCTAAACATATCACCCCTGGCGCCACAGCTTGTATCTGTAATTTGATCTTGCTAAACATATCACCCCTGACGTCACAGCTTGTATCTGTAATATAATAATGCAAAACATATCGCACCTGTCGTCACAGCTTATGTATGTAATTTGATAGTGCTAAACATATCCTCCCTGGCGTCAGAGCTTTTATCTAAAGTGACAAGACACTGTGTGAAAATTGTTCTCACAAAATGTTTGTTTATTTTTAGCGCAAAACTTCACAGCTGGTTATCTGCCCTCTGTTCTGGGGTAGGGGTAGATGCTTCTTAAAGCAAAGGTATATAATGGACCTTCTGTGCTCTGTCCACCATGGGAAATCAACCCACGGATTTTTAACATTGTATTTGTTTGTTTGTTGTTATGCACAAAGCTATATAATATGGTATCCGTGCTTGCTCACCACCAGTATCGAAACCCACTTTCTAGAGTTATAGTTCTTCATGGAAGACCAAACCTGGAATTTTATCGTTATAAGTTCTAAAACTTATCGCTGACCCACTGAGGGACAAACTCAAGATGAGATGAACCATTATTAGTAAAAAAATATACTTGAATCGTGTTTTTTTATTCTACACATTTTACCTGAATGTTGCCAGTGGCACAGCGGTATGTCTGCGGCCTTACAACGCTAGAAACCGGGTTTCGATACCCGTGGTGGGCAGAGCACAGATAGCCCCGTTGTGTAGCTTCAAACAAACAAATACCTGAATGTCGTTTTTTCAAGAGATATAATATAATATTTTCAAATTGAAAGATTTCAAAAAGTAGTGCTTATTTGTTTGTTTCATTTTGCACAAAGCTGCTCGAAGGCTATCTGTGCTAGCCGTCCTTAATTTTGAAGTGATGGCTAAACTCCACATTCTAAAAAATCGGTCATTTTCCATCTAGTCATTAAATAGTTTCTTCCGTCTGTTTGTTATGTTTGTTTTTTTTTGTTTTAAATTCACAACGGACTTAACGACCAGGCTAGAAACCCTTATGGTTCAGTCAGAGTTCTGAAAGTATGAAGCATGTTTAATAGCACCACGTCTAAAACCCGATACTCTAGGCCCAGTTTTTCTACCGCTAGGATATTATCAATAATAGTCTTCCTTCAATACCGTTATTATGATGTTAGTTCCCACTATTATCCAGCGTCTATTTGAGAAAGAGTGACGTAACACCATAATGGCGAAGAGTGATAAGCTAATTCGAATCAAATTTACTTTCAAAACCAGATATTAATATTACTTTCAACCTTTTTTTTTGTTTGGATTTTTCTCGTTTTAAGAAGGCCTGGTATGACCCAGTAATTGGCGTATTCGAAGTGCCAGCAGAAGGTTGAAGGTTCGCGTCCTGTTGCCGAAAACACTGCGTTTGCACTTTGGAGCTGTAGATGAATTATAAGAACGACAGACAAATCTCATTATTCGCACAGACAAGAGTAGCACAAGGATTAACGATAGGTGCTTTGGACAAGATGACTTCTCTCTGGTCTATTTGTACAATATAAAGGACACCTATGCGAGGTAGCCCTTTTAATGTGAATATAACCTACAAATATTGTATGCCACTAGAGGTAATATTCAACGAACAGTATTTTAATATGAATATAATTTACAAATATCACAAGTCACTATAGGCAATATTAAAATAACACCATTTTAATGTGAATATAACCTACAAATATCCCATATCACTATGCGTAATATTCAACGAACAGCAATTTACTGTGAATATAACCTACAAACTTTACACGTCCTATGTGTAATATTCAACGAACAGTGTTTTAATGTGAATATAACCTACAAATGTCCCATATTACTATATGTAATATTCAACGAACAGCATTTTACTGTGAATATAACCTACCAATATTACATGTCACTATAGGTAATATTCAATGAACAGCGTTTTACTGTGAATATAACCTACACATATCACAAGCCACTATAGATAATATTCAAAGAACAGAATTTTAATGTGAATATAACCTACAAATATTACATGTCACTATAGATAATATTCAAAAAACAGCATTTTACTGTGAATATAGCACATGTTAAGTCGCCCGAAGGGTCACTGTACTTCTTTTATTCAAATCCTATAAATAATGGCTGTTCTACAGATGGTACCTTGACTCAACAGATGGCACTTTGGATTAACAGATGGATAAAGTGGAAACTCTGGCTCGAGACTCACTACGAAGAAACATTAGCTACTAAAGAATGATGTTACTATAGCTACAGGTACACATTATTAAGTATTGGACGATGATGTTACTATAGCTGCAGAGAGATTTGTGCAAACTATTAATTGTTAGACCATGAAATTACTCTAACTACTGGAAGAGTTATATAAATTATTAAGTGTTAGACAATGAGGTTATTGTAACTACTCAGACACATGTACATATTACTAAATGTTAAACGATGAAGTTACTATGGTTATTGAAAGATTTGTACATGTTACTAAGTGTTGGATGATGAGGTTAATATGGTTACAGAGAGATTTCTACATATTGGTAAGTGTTAGACGATCAAGTTAATATAATTGCTGAAATCTTCAGTTATCGAAGAGTTAAATAATGCAACTGCTATAACTACGTTCCTACGAATTCCTTAAGAGTTAAATGATGAGGCTACTATATAACTACTTCGAAACAAGTCATGTTACACGTATTAATAAGTGAGTTTACATAATCTATTTAGAAGTTTTTGAGGCCAGAGTTAGAGAATGACGTGCACAGACAATTTTTCCTACACCACCGTAAATAGCGGTAAAAAATGTAGCTCACCGTCTCTATCATAGTGACTCCAGACTTCCATAAACTGAGTAGCGGTCAAGTTCTGTATTTCCCTCGTCTTTTTGTCCCGGAATTGTCTCATGAAGTTCCCTCCTGTCTTCACGTTCTCTGCCATCCTTCTTGTTTTCCCGGTTGTAGGTGCTCGACTGAGCGCTAGCTACAGGTAGATAGGTACTACGTGGACTATTCTTATTGAATCTGTTGACTGCCTATCCTAACGTGCCGAGTGATAGTTAGATCCTACTGCACCAGCCTGACGTTATATTAACCGATTTTCCCACTCTAACGCGGAAATGCTTCTTCTATTACGCATGCGCCCTATCGACCACAGTGAGACGTACCTGTCGAAGCCGGTGCTTTCCCTCTCGGACACGGCGAGTAACAATTATAGCTTTTCAGTGGATTATAAGACTTAAAGTTTTCCTCTGTTACAGACAGAAACTAAAGAAACCCCTGAGGAGAAGTGATACTTGATACGTGTTGTCGTTCTGTTTTCCGGAAAATTAAAACACACTATTTTATGTAGTAAATAACTACGAAATATACATTTAAGCGCAGATGTTTTGATGCAGCTTAGCTTTTCGATGTTGTTAAGAGTTGAGCTGCTAGCATCCATAGCTAGAATAACCGTACTCGAATGTAGCTTCTCTCTCAAAGACTTTCTAATTATAAATAAACCTGATATTATATCGGAATCGATTATGGTACTATCGATATCAGGAATTACGATCACCGTGAATATCAATAGCAGTAAATGAATCATGAATTTAGATTTTTTTTTTTTTCACATATTACTTTCCGCAATGAATTAATTCTGAAAATATTATCGGTATGTATACTGGTAAATATGGGCTGTTGGTACTGGACACAGGGTTGAAATGTATACACACTCAGAAGAGAACAAAATCAAGGAAACAAACCGTGTGCCGCGGATGCTAAAGTATTATTATCTTGTTGAAAGTATTGTTTGTTTGTTTTAGCGCAGAGCTGCAAAATGGGCTACCTTTTCTCTGTCCAACGCGGAGATCGAACTTCTAATCCTAGTGTTATAAGCTCCATAGTCACCAGGGGACCAGAGTTTTGGGCAAGAGTTCTCTGCATGTTTGTTTAGGGAAAAATAAATATATCATTATTTTTGTGAGGAAACAGATAATCACATCAAAATGCTTATTACACATACATACACACACACACACACATATATATATATACTTATTCCTCTGATAACTATATTATTTTATGCCAACAGAGAAAGCTAAACAAACATGAATAAAAAAGCGATACCCATTTTCTAAAGACTTTGTTTTACACTATTGAAAGAAGAAACTTTTCTATGAAATAGAGAAACACAAATTCGTGCTAGAGAATTAAGCCTATTCGTCTCTGCTACAGCAGGATAACAGTTTCAAGTCACGAGGAGCATAATCGTACATTTTTCTTGAAAAGCTGTTTGCTGGTATAAATCATTCTAACTTTGGTTTCTTCTACTCTTACCGTATTAAGAAAGGTAAAAATCTAACCTGAATAAAAAGAATCGTGACGTATTCAGCAATTCACGAAGATTAGGGGTAAGCAATACGTTTTGGTAAAATTTTAACAACAGGAAGTCTTAATTACAAAATTACAAATACATGAGCGAAAAAATTGACAAAACACGATAACCTTTCACCTTTATACAATTATGATAGAAACATTTAGGTGACGCCTTTTCTATAAGTAGCAAAGGGCTACAACTAATAGCCACTCATTTCACGGAACTGATGGCCCTCTTGGAGGAAAAACGTGCATACAAAAAAAAAAACTGACAGAAGAAATAAATAGGGGCACAGCGGCATGTCTGCGAACTTACAACGCTAGAAACCGGGTTTCGATACTCGTGGTGGGCAGAGCACAGATAGATCATTGTGTAGCTTTGTTCTTAACTTAAAACAAACAAATGGATAAGTAGGAATATGAGGTTACCCCTGTTATACTACAAAAGTTTATTTAAAACGTTCACTTAGAGACAAACAGTTTCATTCTACAACACGAGACTTATTTTCCACAACGAGTATTATAAACATTACAAGAGATTTGCTTCACTCTCCAGTTCAGTTAAACTGATCATAATTTAAGAAAATCTATCAGAAATATCATTAATTTACAAGATATATAATTCTTAAAAATGATAGACAAGCGAATTTAATCAAAACAATGCCCAAGACAAATCTCTATTTACGTGAAGCCTAATATGACTGTTTAAACCTAAAACAAGAAAGAGAAAGCACTTTGGTAGAAGTAATTCAGCTAACCTTCAACATCACAGATGTACTAAAGAAATAAACCCAATGTTCAATAGAACACAATAAATATTTAAAAATGAGACTGTTCCCAGTTCCAAAATCCAATAAAAAATTGCCTTTTGCTTGATAATTTAGTGTATAAAGATGAAATGTCGTGAAACTGGGCAGAATCTCATTTTTCAATATTTACTGTGTGCTATTAAACGTTGGCTTTATTTCTTTAAAACTTCTATGACATTGAAAATTTATACAAGTGTCGTTCTAACTTTAATAAGTAAATCTTATATATATACACTGTATTTATTCGTGAACTAAGTACCTTCGTTGACACAACAATAATAATTTAAAACTTCAACTAGATCGTGCTAAATAAATAGTTTAAATAATATTATCCAACATAATCACATGTGAAAAGCGTTATGGCTCTCAATATCAAGGAGTTTTAAATAGTCTTTTTCTAAACAATAGATGCACCAACTTGCTTGGGGGGGGGGTGGGGGGGGTATGAGTTTGTTAGGTAACGGACCCTAATTACATATGAGTCAGTAAGTAAAACTTACCTTACAATTACGTGACTTATTTAGAATTATACTAAGTTTA